CTCCCCAATCGTTCCTATTCACCAACCCCGTCCCACTAGCCCCACCCCTTCTCCCCAATCGTTCCTATTCACCAACCCTGTCCCAATAGCCCCACCCCCTCCCCAATTGTTCCTATTCACCAACCCTGTCCCAATAGCCCCCTAAAGCCCGGCGCACACGTGAGTAATTTTAGTTTTACTCAAGTAAAATGATGCGTGCGTCAAAATACTCGCGTGTGCGGCGGATTTTCGTTGAGTATTTTGACGCATGCACCATTTTACTTGAGTAAAATTACTCACATGTGCGCCGGGCTTAACCCGACCCCCTCCCCAATAGTTTTATTGGACAACCCCTTCCATTGCTGTCCTTTACTACACCCTCCCCCAATAATTTCTTTCCCCTTTTAAAGTTGCTCCCACCCCCTACAATGAACCCCTGCCTCTTCTACTACTGCCCTCCCTCTCCCACCACCCACTAGCTGCTACTCCAATGAAAGCTTGCTACACGAGAGAGGAACGAGCGAGGGCAGAGCGCGCAACAAAAGAGGGCATTCTCGACGGGGGAAAGGACCGCTGCTGCCCCTGGAGGAGAGAGGGAGAGAGAGAGAGAACGAGCCGTTGTCGGAGCCAGCGAGGATGTACTGACCGTTGCTGTGCAGCACGAGATAGCGATAGATAAATAGATAGATAGACAGACAGACAGATAGATAGATAGATAAATAGATAGATAGATAGATAGATAGATAGATAGATAGATAGATAAATAGATAGATAGATAGATCTATAGATAGTAGCTAGATAGATAGATACGTACATACATAGAGAGAGTACAAGAGAGAAAGCTAGAGATATAGCAAGTGAGAAGGAGAGAGAGAGAGAGAGGGCGAGTGACAGAGAGGGAGGGTTATGTGATGTCACACGCTCTCGTCGTCACTGTCTCTCTTTCTCTCTGTTTCGTTCTCTCTCTATCTCTCCCTCCCTCTCTCTCGCTCTCTCGCTCTCTCTCTCTCTATCTCTTTCACTCTCTCTCTCTCTCTCTCTCTCTCTCGCCCGATGCTAAAGCAAACTACTGAAGAACTGTATCGAAGGCGTAACAGTATTGATGACTAAGCCATGTA